TGCATAGAGTGAATAGGAACACCTTTTTCTGAGATTTATTTTTACCAGTATTTTGCTCGCATGGAAGTATACCTGTATGCTGGTGGCCAGAAGAGGGCACTGAATTCCAGCCAGTTGTAAGCACCTGGTAGGCTCTAGGAACTGAACTTGGATCCTCTGCAACAAAAGCAAATGCTCTTAATCACTGAGCCACGGCTCCAGTCCTCACACCTGATTCTTCAAGGCAAATATGAGACACAAACAACAAAAAATAGTTGTGACCCAATCAAAAGTAATTCATGTTAAGGATATTTTAGGATTATTAGATTTATGTCTTGGAGTTTTTATTACTGTGACTGTAGCAGCTTCTTGCCTGTGAACCTGTAACGATGGTCACACCCCCTTTGGGCGTGGCTTCAGGCGGAGGGAGTGGAAAGAGGAAAGTGTGAGGTGTAGTCTCTCTCGAGTGGGCTTTCTATTGAGTCAGTGGATCTGATCAGAAGGGCAGAGAAATGCTCTCCGGATTCTTTATTATTATGTGTGTCTTCTCCTTGACACCCACTTGTCATTTATCTTGGGTCTAGTGAAGTCATTACACCCTCGCCTTTAATGTGAGAAAAACCATGATCAAAACAACTTTGCATGTCCACATCACCGTCCATCTATCATCAAAGGAAGTCACAGTAAGAACTCCAGGCAGGGAACTGGAGGTAGTAATTGAAACAGAGGACATGCCAGAATGCTGCTCTCTGGGCTGCACCTCATGGTTTGCTCTGCCTTTTTTAAACACTCTAGCAGCACCTCCAGGGGTGGACCGCACACATCTGGGCCATTCCACATCCATCATTAACACACCACCCCACAGACCGGGCCTACAAACCTGACTTTATAGAGACATTTTCTCCGTTAAAATTCCCTCTTCTCAGACGTGTCTGGGTTTGTGTCAAGTTGACAAAAAAACAACCAGCACAGTATGTTGACAAAAAATATCCACCCACAAAAAAAGTATACTGTTAAAGCTAGGAAATTAAACACAAAAGTTTCTGTTGGTTTTTAAGCTATTGTCATCAGTGATAAAGACTGTTCCTATGTATTGAGCAAGATCAGATTATTGACCCCAACAAAGACAAAAATGTACTATGAAGTGTTTGAGAAACACCTCAACAAACCAGGCAGTTGGAACTGAACATTTCTTCTAGAAAGTATAGCCATTCTGTACCCAAAGGTATTAGTGAAAGCTGTTTTCAAGCATTTAACAGGCCACTAAGTAGCCTCTGCAATCAAGCCTTAAGATTAACCTTAGAACCAAAACATTGAGCTCTCTGCAGAAAAGTGCAATAGGGCTTCAGAAATAGAACATTTTTAAGGGCTCGGGATATACCTCAGTGGTTCTTAGCACTACATTAAAAACAAAACAAAAACCCTTTCAAAAATAATTCCTTTAAAATTATTTAAAGGTTTGTGTGTGATTAATTTTAGTAAGATGTTTTTATTTGTAAGTTTTGAAATAATAAAAGTGTGCTGGCTAGTTTTTTTTGTCAACTTAACACAGGCTTGAAAGATGGGAACCTCAGTTAAGAAAATGCCTCCTAAGATGAGGCTGCAAGCAACCCTGTAGGGCATTTTCTAATTAGTGATTGATGGCCCAGGCCATTTTGGGTGGTGCCCCCACCCTGGGCTGGTGGTCCTTGGTTCTATAAGGAGGCAGGCTGAGCAAGTCATGAAAGCAAGTCTGTAAGCAGCACCCCTCCATGGCCACTGCATCAGCTCCTGCCTCTAGGTTCCTGCCCTACTTAAGTTCCTGCTCTGACTTTCTTCAATAATGTACTTCAATTTGGAAGTGTAAGTCAAATAAACCCTTCCCTCCTCAACTGTTGTGTGATTTTTTTTTTTTTTTCTGAGAAGTCACAACACACAGTCTACTTACCCCAGACAGGGGTGCCACAACAGACGCCCTAAGAGACTGGTATCCGCTCAGGACTTCCAAGACCAAGTTGTCAGCACAAGAGATTTATTTGCCCCAGAGGGACAGAGGGCAGGGAGTAACAGACAAAAGTAGGAGATAAGGACAAAGGAGAAGGGGAAGGGAACAAGGAGGGAGCAGGGATATTTGTCCTGGAGCGGAACGAAGGACTGAGTTTGGACAGAGAGGCAGTTGTTAGCACGAGGTGTTTAATTTCAATTGGGCATGTTAATTAGGGGAGCCAAGGGGGGCTTTTTGACAAACTTCAATACTTTGATAGCTGGACCTTGGTAGTCAGCCTCAAGAGGAGGAAGTGGCCAAAAAAGGTACAAGACCTTGGTAGCTAGCTTTAGGAAAGTAATCTAGCATTTTTGGGCAAGACAAAAAGAATGGGAAAGGCAAGGCCTGCAAGACTCATGTACTCAAGCGGGCTAGTATCCCCTCAAGACTAATGTACAGATACCACCAAAGTCCAACTTGGTAAACCAGTGAGCTTTAAGTTACTTACAGAAGCCAAATGACATAGACAGCTCCAGTATGAACAGCTCACAAAAGCAGGGAAACCTGGAGCATACCACACAGCCTGCAGGCAGCTCAACAGTGTCATTTCCAAGTGACTCTGGTATAAACCTCTTCTAGACAACTGAGATGGTTTCTACTTGTTCCAGGCAGGTCAGGGTCTCTTTGCATTTTTCCCCCCTCAGTCTATTTTGTAGCTCAGCTTCTTTGAAGCTTAGCTTTTATCTGGGGGGGGGGGGGGGGGGGGGGGGGACCACAACATGAGGATCAAGCAATGGGGACCTAGGGAATCTGGTCAGTTTTAGGGACTTCCTGAAGCTACTTTGAGTTTTTGCCTTTTTGTTTAAAAAGCTTCCCTGCAGGATGGAATGTTTTAATATTGGAGAAACTGCTATGAGTTGCTTTTGGTCATGGGGCTTCAAAAAAGCAATAGTAACCCCAAGACCAAGTTTATAAAATACTTTGGGTGTGTGTCCAAATGTATCCTGTGCACATATGCAACAGTTCAAAGTCATCCAGGGACAATCCTGGGTGTGGCTCCTTGTCTTTCATCTTGTATTTTTGAGATGTGGTCTCTGTTTACCAATGCCAGGCTAACAGGCCATCAAGCTTCCAAGGAGTCTTCTGTCTCCATCATCCATCTTGCTGTAGGAATGCTAAAACAAGTAGCTTTCATAGATCCTCAGGAGTCAAGAGTCTGACCTTCATGTGTGCAGGGCATGAAAATCTTTTTTTTTTTTTTTTTTTTTTTTGGGCACATTTCTTTAATCCCAGCACTAGGAAGGCAGAGAGAGGCAGATCTCTGAGTTCAAGGCCAGCCTTGTCTATAGAGTGAGTTCCAGAACAGCCAGGAGCCAGCCAGCCAGAGAAACCTCATCTCAAACAGTCAAAAAAAACCCAAAACAGAAAACCCACTTTTTTCTTAAACTAGAGACTAGTTTTAAAAGATACAAATGCCACCCACAATAGTTTAAAATGTTACATCTCATTTTTTTTTGTGTACTAGTATATGAGCACATGTTTAAATTTTTAAAATCTGGGAGAAGATAGATGCCCAGCCTTGAATGTGTATTCCTTTTGCAGAAGACCTGGGTTTAGTTCCCAACACCACACACACACACACACACACACACACACACACACACACCAGGCAACTCATAACTAACTCCAGCTTAGTGGTTCTCGACCTTCCTAATGCTTCAATCCTTTTATAGTTTCTCATGTTGTGGTGACCCCAACCATAAGAGTAATTTTGTTGCTACTTCATAACTGCAATTTTGGTAGTTATGCATTGTATTGTAAATATCTGATATGCGGGTTATTTGATATGCGACCCCTCCAGGGGTTGGGACCTACAGGTTGAGAACTGCTGCTCTAGTTCTAGATTACAGATCTTCTGGTCTCTGCATGCCCTGTATGCACATGGTACATATAAACTCACACAGGCACACATATACATTTTTTTAAGTTAAAAATGTGTATGTATACACACCAAACACTCCATGGAGCAAAAAGGCAGATGGCAGCATGTATACAGTATTTGTGTCTCATAAGTGTGTCCTTAAAAGAAACTCCTCCAATTTTCCTCCAATTTCCTAGGGGTGGGGAGTCATATTGTCTTTTCTGTGCTGTGCTTTTAAACTTAATTTTTAGTACAGCTGGGCTTTCCTTGATGAATGGTATGACAGCATCAATTTAATTTTCTCCAGCAGTTTTCAATGAATAATTCCTCATGGCCAGAATAACTCTTAAAAGCTCATGTTAATGTATGCATCATTCCTATTTTTACCCATTTCCCATTACCCTGTCCATGTTTACACCATTGTAACTGCTTTAAATTTAATAGTACTTTTGAAAAATGTGATGTGTCTTTTTAGTACAGCAAGTTCCTTCTATTTTTTTTTCTTCTTTCAATGGGCATTTTTCTATTTCCATCTGTTTACACTTTCACGTGAGATCTTAAATTTTATTAAAAACAAGGTTTTTGGTCTTTGTGATGGCTTTGTATAAATTCATATATTAATCCACAAGGAAATGACATGTTTACAACAATCAAAATGTTCTTATTATTAAAAAATGCTTATGAATTTCTGGGCTCCTCCACCAAGGAAATCATGTCCATTGCAAATGCCTGCAGCACATGTATGCACACACACACACGTCCAAAGCACACGTACACATACTACAACGGCAGTACACGCATACGTATACACTACATCTCAGTGCACTCGTACATGCAGACTGCATGCACCCATCTGTGCACACACACTGTCACCTACATCACACACACTGTACCAACAGTTCATTATACTTACACCATACACTACACCTACAGTACATGCTTGCATACACACTAATGCCTAAATCACATGTCAATAGTTTTGTAGTCACCGATCTAGAGGTTAAGGCTGACTCTGTCTGAGTTGTAGCTACCATTTACACAGTGTCCTGTAAGTAGAACTGAACATCCATGTTACCACAGTGAACCAGGTTTCAGAGCCAGGACATCTAAGATGCACAAAACTCGTAACAAAACAAGTTTAAGGACATTTGTACAAGATTTATTTTTCATTAACCACAATGTTTTAGAGTGAGAATATACACCTAATACGGAGGAGTGATTCAAAATCCACCAAATGTTTATAAGGAGAGAGCCCAGGCCAGCAGCTTTGTGCCCCAGCTCAGACGTGCTTTAGTCATGTCCTGTGAGTGAGTGAGTGGCAAAGGACAGTACCAGATTTGCCATGCCTTCTGCCAAATGCTCAGACACTTTGCTGTGCTGGAGGGTGCCAAAGCTGTCTGCCCCCATGTGATCTCCAAATTTTGTATAAGCATTTGTTTGAGTCACAGTTCCTCAGGCCTTGACATAAATAATTTCTCCACAATTGCACGCTGACAAATAAAACTAAAAGAGCCAAGGGCATTATCAACCAAACACACCCAGGAGAACATCCAGTCTTACTGCATTTAGTACAGTCACAATATGTAAATGACACATAAGACCCAATATAAGCTATTTTTCCAAACCACTGCACTCTTAACCCCAGAGCCACGATGACTTCCCAGAGGTGTGTAATCCATCAGCACTCTCCTAACAATGAATCAAGCCTAAGATGAAGAGAGGTAGCAAACCCCCGACAGACACCACCCCCCACACACACACCCTCGCCCCTGGAAAGAGGTTCAAGTTAAAGTCTCAGTGAGTGCTAGGAGGAGACAGTGACTGCAGGTGAGCAGCAGTGGGACCAGAGAGGAGGCATTTCCTCTGGGAAAGAACAGGTACCTCCTTCCAAATATCTGGGGGTTAGAAACCAAGGCAAATTTCTATGTGGTAGTTAAAGCACAAGATCCATTTCTCTATGAACCCTGCACTTCTGGTAAAAATGAACCTCATTTTGCACAGTCTTACCGAAAGCAGTAATCACAACAGAAAAGGTCCTCTAGAGCTGTCAGGTCAGTTAACCGTGTCACATTCCAATTTTAACGTCCCCTTAAGAGACCTACACTTGGATAAAAACACATATTCCAAGCTAAAAGCTCAAGGAATACACCATAAAAATAAACAAACAACAAACAAACAAACAAACCTCTAAACACTCTAAGAGCTGGATAGCTAATGCAGACTTTTGCTTTTTAGTTGTTTCGTAATTATCTCAAATTAGTATATTCTATGAACATATATTCAAAGAATAATGCTTAGTTTAATGTTGGCTGCTTAATAAACAACTGAATCTTAGCTCAAGGGCAATTCCTCTTGCATAATAACCATGGAAATAATTAACTACTTCAGAGAGGAAAGGAGAAAAAACAAACACAGCCTCAATAAGACAGCACAATCTGGAAGGTTATTTACAGGGAAAATCGGGGTCACTTAGACACTCTGTGCCCCTCTTTCCATTACCTGCAGAAACAGTAATGTTTGGGAGCTCACCATGGCCTGTGCTAGCAGATATATATATGAAGTCTCTTGTGCTGTAACCGTTGATGCTGTTTGGTCTATACAGAGTACATCGAAGAGAGGAGTGTGCAAACTGTTCCTGAGGAATCATTCATGTGTGCAAATTTGCAACCTGACAGAAAGCAAACAAGGGGGGGGGGGGGGGGCCTACACAGGTCTGAGCACTGAAGACATATATGCAGTGTCATGACCAAAGGCACCCATTCCTCTGCACTCTACCTACACACAAACCAACTTCATCCTAGCAAAAGGGAGAGTAAGTGACTTGCAATCGGAACCAGAAAAAAAGACGTTTCGGTAAAGAATAATTTGTGGCTTTGTTTAAAGGCCTATTGTAGGCAAACCTACACACTTGCCAGTTTAGCCAAATCAACTCCACTACACTGACTGGCTAGCTGATCTACACCATCTGGCCTTTGAGGATCTGACTAAGAAAGTAGTCTTCAGCAGGGGCAGAAAAACTGCACATTGCACTGGCAAGAACACAAGCATACATGAAAAATATTTTTCTGCAAATACTAAGTGGGAGAGAGGAGATTTTATTTCCTCATAGTTGAGGACTAAGAATTCTGTCAAGATTTCAACTAATAAGCAAGGCCAATTTCACCTTCATTAAGTTTTACAAACTGTAGGGATCACACACACTTTCGCCAGACTTTCAAGATCAGCAGTTGTACCCAGCTCTAACTCGGAGAATTCCACAGGCTTTCCTCTGCCTATTTTGTGCTAACACAGACTGAGTATGACTATTTCTCCATTTACTTAATAATGCAAAAGCACCCACTTTAATGCCAATTTATGTAATATAATGCTTTTATAGGGAAAGTTCTGTTGGAGAAAAAGAATGTTCTCTTCCAGGGGATGAGGGAGGGTAAAAATTAGACACTGAGACGCTTACCTATGTCTCAAGAAATGTTCCAACTTTACTACTGTCCAAAATATTAAAGCCATGTAGAAGAAACCAGTTCCAAATGGTATTTACAACCTTGTAGCAAACATTCCAACAGAAAAAGCAAACTTTGGGTTTTTTGATAAAATGAAAATTTGCCTTGATAGAGCAGAAAAAACTGTACAGGCCGTAATTAGAGCCTGCCTGTCCTCACACAGGGTTCTTCAATGTAACCTAAATTAAAGCCCCATAAACTCTATCAACTGCAGAGAAATATCCGAAAGAACTAGACCATCATTCACAAACCCAGGACTGCTACTGGGCAATGTTCTTGCCCCCCACTGTGCCATTTCTAACTCTTCTGCCCAATGAGTTTGCAGTAGTAGCTGGGGGTGTGGGTGTGGGGCAATTCTCTGAAGGGTTGGAATCGCTGTTGGCTAAAGCCTAGTAGCACAAAGTCAATGCTCACTTCACATTCAAGCAAAATTGAGAAGAAAACTATTTTTCCCTCACCATGTCAATTCTTGTTTACCATTGAAAAATAGCTGGAGTAAGCTTCAGACTTTTGTGAAGATCTAAAGAGCACTGTTGGTGTAGTGAAACAAAATACAGCTTTACCACAGCTGAAGGAAGCCTTCAAACACCAGTGCAAACTCTCCCCTGCTGTTCTCAAATATCAAACATGTTTACAAGATGCAGGGCACAGCTGACCTTTTACAAATACTAAACACACCCATTAAAATGTGATGGATCAAGAACTACTCACCATATTTGGCTTTAATAACTATGTCTCCCTAGAGGGATCCAGGGAGCAGCTCCCACTGTTGGGTAATCTCTACAGTATCACAGTCCTGGACCAGGACTCTACCCATACTACACAGGCTGGTAAGATCAGGTGAGGTGGATGGCAGAAAGGACTCCACTCAGTAAGAGTTGATCCTCATGAGAACTGGGACAGGAGGGTAAATTCTGATCCCTGTCCATTTTCTAAATCAGGTCCTACTACAAAGCCACACCAAAGGCCTTGGTGGACCAATCTGGGATATCCACTTCTCCAGGAAGCATTGTTGAGTATGATGACAAGGTCACACAGTTGCAAAGTGCACAAAGCTCAAGGCACAGAGTTAAAAACGTGAATTGATGGGGAAAGTTACAGTGAAAGCAGTTATTAGCATTTTTCCTCCACAAGACTAATGTTAGCTAGGCCGTGGTGGCGCACACCTTTAATCCCAGCACTTGGGAGGCAGAGGCAGGTGGATCTCTGTGAGTTCGAGGCCAGCCTGGTCTACAGAGCTAGTTCCAGGATAGGCTCCAAAGCTACACAGAGAAACCCTGTCTCGAAAAAAACAAAAAAAGACTAATGCTAAACATAGACCAATTCTGAATTTAAAACAGATTGTTTGGGACATGGGTGAAAATACTGTATTGTAACACCTGCTTGGTTTTAAAGCAAAGATATCTTGACATGAGACACACACACACCACCATGTGCCAAGTCCACAAATGAACAAGGTAAGTGTTTAAAAAATTAAGATTCTTTCGTTCTTGTATTTTTTGGAGGAAGCTGATTTGAATGTTGGGCTTCACTTAGCAATGGCCACTCTCCAAGACACTTGCTCTGTAGATAAACTCATTAAAAGATTGTCCTATTTCAAAATCACCCCCAAGTCTAGCAGCAATTGTTTTTGTTAGTTCTTGTTTTTGAAAACCAAAAAAAATCAAAGAAGTGCGGCATCCTCTCTGAGAACAGCTTTTTGACAGAGCTCCTGAGTGGTGCAGGCCCCGCTGTGCCTGGAACAGTTTCTGCAGCTCCAGTGTGTCTTCTCTCCGGAAGAAAGTACTTCAACAGTCACTATCTATATCCCCTGGAACTTGCACAAGCGGACGGACTGTCTGGAAAAAAGGTCAGAAGGAAAACCATAAGGGACAAGAGCACTCTGTTCACCAAAAGCTATTTATCTCCTGATCCCCATCTCCTGGTGTGTTTATTTTAAAAACTTTGAAAAAATAACATAGTTCTGAGACAACTGAAAAGAAGCCAGTATCATCAGGAACTGATCTTGGGGCATTATCCCAAATAATCTCCATGCCATGCCATCTAGACCACCACCTCTACCCACATGGTCTCCATACTCATCCTCAGAAGCTGTCCCACATCAAAAATCCATCAAAACAGGAAAAGCATCATCACTTACTATAAGCCAACTCATCCCCAGCTCTCTTCCGGGACTGGTCACCTCTAGGGAGAAGAGGAAGGAGTCAACAAAACTGACTGGTTTCTTTACACACAAAAGCAGTAGAAATAAATCGATGTATGACACTACAAACAGCAAATCCTTCAGATTCTAACCCAACAGCCTGTTTAAACAAACATCAGCTGAGTCATTTACTCCAAAGAGTATTCTTATTTCAATAGTATATGTAGTCTGTTAAGTATAGAAAGTTATTAAATGAAGGATCATCTATAAAGACAGTTTACACTAAGGACTAAAAACAAGTGCAAACTAAAATATGTCTTTGACGACAACCCCAAATTCTACTAATATTATTCCCAATAAACTGCACATACTGCAAGACTTTAAATATCAAACAGAAGGAAGTTTAAAAAAAAAAAAAATCTTCCCCTCAAGCCCCAAACTGAGACTCAAAGCCTTTGGAAGCCAGAAACTAAGGTGCTTGAAGACCCTTGTGTGCAGGTCTCCAGATGCAGCGCCCAGCCTAGCCTCACAAGCCTAGAGGCAGTCAAGTGCTACACTGCAGTTAAGAGTGGTTGTGAACAGGCCGCGTGCCTCCCATGCATCACTCTGGCTTTCTGGCTTCAGACACTAATCCAAACTGCAATGCCTAAGCAATGAGTGATAATGGCTCCACTTACTCATTTCTCAGCCAAGGGTGCAATCACCCCTCCTTCCCCCAACCTTCTCCCACCCACTGCTGGTGCCCTTAGTTGGCTCAACTTAACACTGTCACAGGCCACCTTTTCTTCTCTCTATGTATGTTCTTCCCTCTTTTCTAAGATGCAGACCATACCAGTGTGGGGCTCAGAGACTTACATTACATACAGTTCTGACTTCTGTCTGTCTGAGATCTGTAGGTTCAGCATTCTCATCAGTAAATACACAATGAAAATTTATCATACCCAGTACATATTGTCTGTTCAGCTCTATCCCTAAATCTTCTCCAGGCTTGTAATATTCTAGATAAAGAGCCAGAGTGAGCTTACATAAGGCATAAACAAGGTTAGTTCACACCTCTGATTAAAACTCTTCATAACTTTCCATTACAGTTTAAAATCAATTCCAATTCATTTCCCAGCCAGTCTCATGGCTCTGAACTCTCTCTCCCTCATTCTCCAGCCCTTATCACCTCTGCTAATTTTGGGGTTGGTTAACTTTCTGTTTACCACTCTTTTCCCAAGGCAGTCACACAGCAGTCTCTTCCTCCTAACCTCAGCTCAGTCATCCCCTTGGAAGTCAACACCATGTCCTGATAACCCTCAACTCTATTAAATTTCATTCACTAATTCTTTTCACAGTGCTTTTTTTTTTACTTGAAATTGTATGTTTTTTTACAAGTTTATCATTTGCTTGCCAACAGGAGACCATAAGTACCACAAAAGTGAGGACTTTGCCTGTCTTGTCCACCTTGGTGCCTCAAACAGTGTCTAGCACATAAAAAACACTGGAAATGTACCTGTTGAATTAAAAATTCATGATCTCAGATTACTAAAATGCTGACCTGAGCACTCCACATTTCAATTAACCAAACAATGAAACAATATTTGATTACTAAACCAATGCTAATTTTGAAATATTGTAAGATTTTGAATAAATCTCCAGATATTCCAAGTTTATTCATTTTCCGATTGCTTATGACCAGGACAGATATCTCTTGCCAATCTAAGGATCACTGATGGTTGGCAGAGAAGCCATAAGACTTAACTGGGAGTTACATGATTCTAGAGAACCTCACTTCTAAACACAGCATCCATTCCTACCTCCCTCACTGGTTAAACAGAAGACATACAAGTAAAATGGGTGAAATGCACCAGGAAAACAGAAGGAAGAGAGTAACTAATGTATACATGCTAGAGACAATACTTGTGAAGTCTGCCAGCGGTACACTGTGCTCTGCTATAAAATGAAAAAGTCCAAATTCAGGGGCCACCCTCTCAGCTAAAGAACAAAACAAAACACACCAGTACCTTTACAAGGGTATTCCAGAAACTGAGGTCACCTCTTCTCTGATGGAACATCTTATTTGCCTTTGCAAGACATTTGGTGGGACTCTAGGCTGGTCTGAATGGTACACTCCTGCCCTGGGCCCATGCTTTCTGTTTCCCAAACGCTATTTCTGAGAGCAGACACCAATCTATGCTCCCTCCAACAGATTCAATTATCCAAAAGAGAAAGATCATGATGCTTTGAGCTTACACATGTCTATTCTAGTATTGAAATAGTCTTCCCTGTACGTCCATGCATCTAAAGATCTACTACAGAAGGAATATCTGAAGACATTTGCATATTATATAAAAACATTTCAAAGACTTTGACACAAAATGAAGAGCTTGGAATACCAATAAAGAACCACAAACTTGGGTGAAATAAAAATCAAAAAGTACTGCTCAGGCCCAAACAGAATTGAAAGAGTTATTTGCCAGCCTGTATATTTTGGGTTTTTCTCCCCTTCGCTTTCAGTGAATGTTATTTCTCTCTACAACAATCCTAGCTAGATAATGGCTAAAGAGAACTAAGTGTCACAGAATAGTACACAGAAGGCTCATGACACAAGCAGAGACAGGTTTTCTGCTCAGCATGGCAGTGCTTTCTGATGGGTGGTTAAATAAGCCAAAAAAATGGGTCATAGAATGTCAGCTTTGGCAGAGCCTACTCTGTTCAAAGTACCTGTCAGAATCATTCAGAAGGCAGAGTTTAATCCTCACAGTAAATGTGTAATACAATGTTAACTATAAAAGTGGCTTGATTAAGTTTGTGCTACAAGACATTTCAATTTTACTACCTCTTAGAATATAAATTAATGTTTAAAACTCAGCCACAAGCTGCTTTAGAGACCCCTTTATGAGTAATAAAAATTCTAATTTACACTAAAAGCCCAAGGCAGTACCCTGATCCCCTTGGCCTTGCCAACACAATACTACAATAGTTCTTTCAAAGCAAAGGAAATCCAGTATGATGGTGCCTCCAGAGTCAGCTGCTATTTATCTCATCCCAACCCAGATCTGACATGAGAGCCAGCAGCTCTACATCCTGTTCACTTGTTCTTGTCCCCAAACTAGGACTCGGAGACACCTCTGGATGAACCTCAACAGCTCAGTGACACATACAAGAGCAGGTTTTCAAAGGGCAATTTTTAAAGGGGGGTAAGTATATTGGGGTTGAAGAGATCGTTCTGTGGTTAAGAGCATTTGGCTCTTGCTGAGGTCTCACCCAGCACCCACACTTCAGTAAAAACCGAACCTGTAACTCCAACACTAAGGGGATCCCATTGCTCTTCTGGCATCTGTGGGCTCTTGGGATGTATGTGGTACACATAAATCTTTTAAACAGTGAAATAAAAGTATCTAAAGCAAAATTTAATTATAATACAAACTACAGAAGTCACAAAAACCTTACCCTAATAGTTACACAAAAATGGAAAACCACTTTCTCATGATTGAGAACAAAGCCACAAGACCAACTGAGAAATGTATCTTGAAGTATGAGCCAATTTTTTGACTATATAAAGAGCTCCTAGAAATCAGAGAAAAAAGACTAATAGAGCAATGGCAAAAGGACATAAGCAGTTAATAGAAAAACAAATGCAAACATATGCTCAGCTTTATAAGAGAAATGCAGACTTAACTTATTCTGAGTAGATTCTACACTTTTTAGAAGTACAGTTATACTTACATATACAGTATATGTGTGGCCCATGAAGAGCATATGCAAAATGGCAGTATTAATCACATTTTCAATTACATCTGCCCTTGACCCAGCCAAACTACTTCTAAGATCTACATGTAACAAGCACAGAATAAGACATGTTTTTGGGTCTCCACTGCAGCTGTCTGTATTACCAAACAACTAATAGGGCCTAGTCAAGTAACTATAGCATCTGAGTCTAATATAAACACATAGTGAGTAATGGGGGAGGGGGTAAAAATAAGGCTAAGTTTTACTTATATCTATACAAAAACAACAACAAAACAAAACAAAAAACCAAACCACTAGAAACAATCACCAAAAAAACCACCAACAAAAAACAAACAAAAAACACCTTACTGGGTTGGGTTGAGACAGGTGGAAACAAAATTCACTGTTTGTTTTTATATTATTGAAAAATAAATATGGGAAGGAAGGGTTCCTGAGGCTCCACCTCTAGCTGAAGAGCTACTGGCAGCTGATGGGTGCTACACGAGGCGGAGCCACTTTTCTTTGGGCTAGTGGCTGCAGGCAAGGTGCCCACTCCCCAGCACATAGGCCACAGCCATGCACACATGGACAACACACTAACTGGACTCTGGATTACTTAAGAAAACAAAAACAAAACACAACCATGAAGCTGAGGAGGAGATGGGTATAATTAAGACACATTACATGCATCCATGAAATTGTCAAAGAATATGGCATTAAATGGCCTCACACTATGTACAAAATACTTTAATACTGGGATATGGGGATTCATCAATGTCAAAGAGAAAAGCCATCTACTTACATCCAAGCTACACCCATCTGCACTGACACTCCTGGTATAAGCTGCTAGGAAGGGAAGCTTCCACTACCTCACAACTACAATCATCAAGACCACAACCCACAAGGCAAGAAAGTCCCATCTGTGGACTGACAAAACAACACCAAAATTTCCTTTCTTTCTTAGCCAGTGACAGATTAAGTAGACAACCATGGTAAAGGCTGGTTTTTTGTTTTGGTTTGCTTGTCTGTTTTGGTTTGCTTGTCTGTTTTGGTTTGCTTGTTTCTGAAATTCAGTTTGGCCTCAGAATTTTTTAGAGGAATGTATATTCCTGTCCCATCAGACAATCAGGTCAATACTCAATCTGCTGCTTGGTCTTCTTTTTCACAAGTTTCCTTAATGTTAGGTATTCAGATACCAGAAGATAGGGGAGACAGATAAACACAGAAATTATAAAAATAGTAAGTTACTAAGTGTGTCCTTTACTTCCTGACACAACCAAGTACTTTCCCACAGGAAAACACCAGACTTTTATATTAATTCATTCTAATAATAATAATAAAAAAAAGACCCTTACTTTGTATGATTTCTCTGGGGGTACAGTCGTTAACAATGAATTGCAAACATTTTAGAAAAATAAACATACACACCAAAAGAAAGGGAAGGGAATTTTCTGGACATCTTATAAAGAGACACTACTTTTAACACGGCAATCATGTTTTTCGTCCTGTTCAGAATTAACATGAGAGTCTCCAAAGTTGGAAGGCCCTGTCCCATCTAACTGCCCATTCTCCAAAATGCACACAGAAATGAATAGCTTCTACCAGCTCAGCACCAGCTGGGAATGTGCAGACAAGGGGCCCACAGCTCCAGCACTAGGCACTCTGTAGCCAGGCTAGAAGCCTAGGGAAGTGTGCTACAACTTGCCTGGTGAAACCATTCTGTATAAGGTCTCTTTGAAGCTTCTGATCTTGAGCGGCGTATTCAGAAAGTTCAGATTCCACAGCTGGAGGCAGAATGTTTGGAATAAACTTAGAAAACAAAGTTGGAGCCATCTGAACCCATTCTGTGAGGGAAAACATATAATTTGTTAAGAAAATAATAATGTAAAAAACAAGTTTCTTATTTAAACAAGAATATATATATATATCTATCTCCAAATGAGAAAAACTTGGTCCAGCCCTATTTTGGTGAACACACAAATATGTACTTTCTTTCTGAAGTATTAAGAGATGTACATTTTTACATTATTGATTCAAGAAAACTGAATGAAAATCTATAACCTTTGAATAAGTCTTGTAAAAAATTATGAAGATGTAGGAAAACACTAATGATATTACTAGGCAGTTCCAAGTCGAAGAGGATGTGGAGAGAAGCAATTTGATGGCATTACAAGCTCTATGAGCCATTAATTCAAACAACAAACCAGCCCGAGAAGGCAATGTTTCAGAGGAAATAAGTATAACACAAAAGAGGAAATAATCCAAACAGGGGCAGGGAAGTGAAGAACTAGTTTGTGCTTTGGAAACATAAATCTTTTTTGATCCCTGCTAAATTCAACTCCATGGGGGGGGGGGGATGCACAACAGTAAAAGAAAAGAAAATGACATGGTTATCAAGAGAAAGACGAAAAGAATAATCTATAGAAAATGAAAAGGCAAAAGAGAGGTGATGGTATTTCCACCAGACATAACAAAAGCGTGTATTAGAGTGTTTGTACAAATCAGGTTCAGGGATGAGTAAAAGACAGAAACAGGCCAGGTGGTGGTGGCACACATCTTTAATCCCAGCACTTGGGAAGCAAAGGCAGATGGATCTCTGTGAGTCTGAGGCCAGCCTGGTCTACAAAGCAAGTTTCAAGACAGCCAGGATTGTTACACAGAGAAACCCTGTCTTAAAAAAAAGAAAAAAGAAAAGAAAAAGAAAAAGAAAAGAAAAAAAAACAAAAAAACAAAAAAGACAGGAATGGATTATTTGAAGAAAAAAATACATAGCATTAAATAGGCACTGGCCCTCCACTCAGGGATGGAACTGCTACCTGGCCTTCCTGAATAGATCCCCTGAGTACTACTCAGCCTTTTCCAACTGTTTCAGGTTGGGGCTTTCAAAATGTCCCCTTTATAAACATTCTGGATGTTTACACTGAAAAAATCACAAAAATGCCAATGTTATGGAAAAGCCAGTAAGCCCTCTTTAAAACTTCAATCTGAATTTGAAAGCCCACATTTTTTATTCTGTGTGGTGGTAGCCAATGGCAAGTAAAAAGTAGGAAAAACAAAACAAAACCAATGTCCAACTAAAGAAGAGCTACAAATTAAAGAAAACATACAAGAGCTGGAGCAATGCAGGTCAGCCTACACCTTGTACTGTGCCATGGCAAATGCTCTCAGTGGTGTGCTCCTCTGGCAACGTGGCTTTAAAAAGAGTCATTAGAGTGTTCTGGGTACGGACTAGCAAATCAGCCTGAGGCTCCAGAAGCCAAATCCTTCCACCAAGTGGTGTAACTTCAAGTAGTCATTAAAATAAAGATAATGAAACAAAAGTGTGTACATTAGATGCAAAGAGGCAGAGTAAGATTGCTGCAGTCAATGCTATGTCCTCCAAATTGCCAGTGGGTGAGGGCAGGAATGGAAGGCTGAGAACCTATTAAGGTGACTGAAATGTAGCACACAAAGACTAACATTAGTGAGGACACCTGTAGTAGAAGCAGCTTCTATGTTTAAAATGCAGCTTTTGAAATATTCTAACTTTAATCTGTCAGGTGACTTGAATTTTACTAGACCAGGAACATAATGGGCACTGGCAAGACATGAAAATGTCAAAACACGTTTTAATAGCATCTCTGAAAACGCCTAGGGCAGCAAAAGGTTAGTCTGTGATAAAATTCACCTTTTGAAAAGGACAATTCTCAAATACAGAATTCTCCTCACAAGGAGTATAAATCCTATACAAGAGCTCACCCTGGAAAAATAGCATTTAGATAGACAAGCATCTACAAATTTTTTCTACCCACAGTGATTAGCTTTATTCTGTAATTTTGCTAAATGTGTAAAAGCCCATGGCTGACAAACCTGCCTACTTAAAAGGCAGAATTTGTCATACTACATATGGGAAGACTACATACTACACTGGGAAGACTTCCATCATAACAGAAAAACATCACTCATAATCTAGTATACAAAAAAATTCATGAGGCAGATTAATAACACTATAGGAAAATAAAATCCAAATATCAGAAAAACAATAAAAATAGAAAATGTAATAAAATATTTTTGTAACTTTACAAAATTATACAAATGATGTCTGTTAAAAGTTCTAAGAATAGGGCTCAAAACCAAAGCCAAAGTTAGATAATAAACATGAACATTGCAAGTCACTAATCATTTTATAGTTGCCTGAGTAAATAATTTCTTGTCCAGCAGTGATGGCAGTGGATGACTTTAATCCCAACATTCTGGAGGCAGAGGCAAGTGGATCTCTCTGAGTTCTAGGACAGTAAGGGCTATGGGGAAACTATGAAACTGCTTCCTTGATACCAGTTTCACTTGTTTCTTAATTTAGCAAGCCAAATTTTGAAGTGTCTTTTCATTTAATTAACTATCAGTTATCAATCATTAACATAATCATTAAATTCAAGTGATGAGTGAGTATAGCTAAAATGCTTATTGGTATCAGGGTAAATTTTTTTTAAGTTTTATTTATTTATGTATATGAGTGCTCTATTGACTTTATGACAGAAGAGGGCATCAGATCCTACAAAAGATGGTTGTGAGCCACCAGATGCTGAGAATTGAACTCAGGACCTCTGGAAGAGCAGCCAGTGTTCTTAATCACTGAGCCATCTCACCAGCCCCCCAGGTCAGACTCTTCATTCACATTTTATTTCTTTGAATCTTCTTTTGTGTTTATTGATTGTAGGATGACTGTGTTTTACCCTGAGATTTCTACAAGCTTCTCCTGTGGGCAGGTTGTAAATGGCTACAAAATTCAGTGGCAAGCTTGAGGCCCTACAAAGGCTCTTTGGATTGCTTTGTGTCTAACCACACTTTTACTATGAAGTAGGCATCCTAAGGTCATTTACAGGCCCTGCTTGTGAATATAGGCATTGTTTATGTGAACTAGAAGATGTAATTTGAGTGTGTATTCCTATGCATACTTACAGTGTGAAATGAAGGAGAAACTCCATAACAACAAAGACAAAACTAAGACCAAACAGGAGATTCATTTTCTTGCTTTGTTTTGCAACACAGTCTAGCTATGCGGCTTTCAGGCTGGCTTTAGACTCACTATTCTCCTGCCTCAGTTCACAGATGATGGTACTTTCAAGTGTCAGCACACCTAGGAAATGCATCAGCAAATTATTTTGTGGATCTCTCTTAGGTGCTATGATTTCCAAGTGAGCCCTAAACCAACATTTCACACAGATTTGAGTTCCAGGATTTTTACTACAGTAAACCCAAATGTCATTTGGCCTCAGGAAGCATGTAAAGAACCACTGCCCTTTTGGATAAGGCTGTAATAAGTAAAAACACAGGCCCAATCCCAACAGAAATGACAGGTGTTTACCTGGTCTGAGAGTGTACAGGCCTTTCACAATATTTGCCATAGTTGAAGGTGTGACCTGAAATGGTGTTGACTGGGCTTCTAAAAGTAAAGCTGGAATAAGAAGAAAAAACAGGTAAAAAAAAAAAGAAAAAAAAAAGAAAAAAGAAAACAAAAAAATAAACAAGAAAAAGAATAAAAAACAGAAAGAAAAAAGCATGTAACACTTGCTAACAGTAAAAACTTCTCTCTCTTAGTATTTTTAACGCTGAATGGTAAACATGAGAAAGAACAGCACAAGACAGATCAGGAGTGTATACACAAAAGATTACAAAAGCCTTCAGCACAGGGATCTGCACTAGTTTGTTGCAGTACTAATCATCAAAGAAGTGCATAAGAGCCTTGAGAAGTAATGCCTTCTAAAATAAACAGACTGGGGGCACCATTAATTAGCTCAAAGTGCCTGCCTGTATGGGGGGAGAAAACGAGCATGACCCTTCTTTCTTCAAATCACTCACATCTAAAATCCTTGGATCAGAAGTTGTTTTGGATTTTATTGGTTGAGCAACCCTAATGCAACAAATCTGAAATACTTGAATTTCTTTCATGCTCAAAAAGCTACCGGGAATGGTAGCACATACCATTAATCCTGGTGCTCAAGAGACAGAAGCAGGCAGATCTCTCCAAATTAGAGGCCAGACAGAACATAGTAAAACTCACTCCCCATCAAACACAAAGTAAATTACAGATTTCAGAGCACTTTGGATTTTCAGATTAGGGATACTCAACCAACAGTAATTTTACTAACTCTAACAAAGCCTACATTCACAAATGCCATAGCTCTATCTTCTTGCAAAAAAATCTTCCTATGCAAAAGGAATTGACAAATTCAATTCTACTTCATCAACTTTGAAACTAACCTTGACTTTTGACTGTAAACAGTCAGGTTTTTTTTATATTACCTACATTTTCTCCATTTTTAAAACAAGTAATTACTTCAATAAAACTTCTATTATATCATTAACAGATACTAATTCTGTGTTTATTGGGCAGAGCAAGTGCTACTGTACTGATTCATTTATCTCTCAAAGATTAAAAAAAACATAACAAAAATACCCACTATATAAATATTTACTACCAAACCAAAAAAAAAAAAAAAAAAAAAAAAAAAAGGAAGGGGGGATAGAAAACTAAATGGGGAGATTTTATATAAGCCAGGTCTGTAGTTAACAATTTTCCTTTATCCATGTCTTATTTTTAAAAAGACCTCCTTACTTCAAGGATTTGGTTACTTCAGACACGGGGTGACTTGCTGTGGAATTTACTAATAAAGATCATCCAGAGGTGCTTTGTTTGTTTATTCTTTCCATTTCATCATCCACATATAGTTTTGATTTTGAATAACAAATTTTAAGGATGACAAATGTGAACTGTCATAAAATCTTGATACTTTAAAATCTAATGTTTAAAAACTAAAATTCTAAATGTTGTGTTCTGAAAGCCTTAGGTACTCAGCATGTACCCCAAATGTAAGTGCTCTTTTTACTAGTTTATGTTCCCATTTTTAACCAATACCTGAGGCCTTCACGCTTAACCACATACTCAACATGTGGCTAAGTACTGATCTCTGCCAACAGTCCCTATCACAATTTCTATGTCAACCTGACAACTATGAAGTAATGGCAACTTTTAAAAAGACATACATGGCATATGAAATGTTTATAAATAATTTGAGATGAACTAACTATAAATAATTATAGTCAAGAATAACTATTACTACAGGCAGGGGACATAGTTCAGTTTGGTGTTTGCCTACCCATGTACAAAGTCCTGGGTTTGACTCCCAGCACCACATAAGCCAGGCATGGAAGGGGAAAGTAGGAGCATCAGAAGCTCAAGGTCATCTTTAAAAGATTGTACAAGAGACTCTATCTCAATAAAGCAAACAAAACCTCCAAACAGTAAAGAGAGGCTTATCAAGAGTTGATAAAGTACCTTCATAATTTTCTAACATCCTCTCTTCTCTATACACTCTGGAGATAGTATTGAAGTTTAAAGGATGCACCCAGAAAGTTGTGGCCTTTGCTTTAACTAGACAGGTATTTCATACGGTTGGGAAACTGATGTGACAGGTCTTTCTGCACTCTGTGAATATGTGCTGCTCTCAGGGGTTGATAAGTAAAGCTGCTAAAGCTTCTTTGGCCTATGGCAAGGCAGGGTAGAACCAGGTAGGAAATCTAAGCAGAAGGGCAATCTGAGAGACACTAACAGCCGCCCCAAGGAGCAACATGCCAGAGCACCCCAGTAAGCCACAGGCCATGTGGCAATACACAGATTAATAGAAATGAGTCCATTTAAATGTAAGAGCTAGTTAGTAATAAACCTGAGCCACCAGCCAAGCATTTATTATTGATAATAAGTCTCTGAGTGATTATTTAGAAACAACTGGGCTGTGGGGCTGGGTGGGACAGAAAAGCCAGGGAACTTGTATTCCCTCTGAATCATCAAACATACTACCACAGAGACACTGACTACATGCACTGGCGCTAGCTATGTGTTATTCTTAGTAACTGGTTTCTTCTGAAAGCCATGTATCAAAGAACAAGGTGCTTCAGCAATCCTGTTACAGAAATATATCAATCATAAGGTGTAGGCCTCTAGTTCTAATCTCTCTTCCTGTGTTATGTCATTAAACTCAAGTATCTTGCTGAGTCCTGAGCTCCTCTGATGTTTCTAATGTTCCTTAATGCTAAGATTTTGCACAGTTTTCTTTTCTTAAAATTTTGATACATGTATTTATAGTGTGTGTAGTGCACACACATGAATGCCACAGTGCTTATGTGGCAGTCAGAAGACAACTTTTGAGAGCCACTTCTCTTTCTACTCTCCTATTTCTAAGGATTAAGATGGTCAGGCTTGGCAGAAAGCCATCTTTAACTGCCTTCATTGTCCAGGGGATTCTTTTACTATTTTTTTTTCTGGAAATGAAAGCTAAAAACTACATGAATTCACAATGTGTCAAAGTCTAAAAGTAAAATGTAGACTCTTAAGGAAATTTAAGTACAATTATTTGAAACTCTGCAAAATAAACTATCTTTAACTGCAAACGTCAACACATTATACTTTCTTTGAAAATGTCCAACCTGATTACTACATATTGACTGCCACGTCTGCTCAGTATATGACCATGCAAATACTTCAATTATTGTTAAGTCCCTTCTACCTCTACATCCAGTTTCATTCAAAATGAAAACTAATTTCAAAGGAAAGCAATTCTGTTACCAGCCAAAATCATGTTACTTTATTTTCTAAGGACATATGTATGCAATGATCATACATAGTGCTGAGGGGAAACTAGCCTAACTTACAATGATAACACTGTCTTCTTATTCACAAAATATTAATTCACAAACATGAGGGCATCAAGTACCAATTTGTTTTTGGCACACAGGATTTTCTTTTTCCTGCCTTACTAGTTTAAGATATGGACCCTCACACACCAGTTTGAAATATCTCCCACTAAGAGATGGAGATCCATAATCTGGCCCCAGAGTCTAGGCTCTGTGATTGCTCATCCAATATAATGCAGTAAATTTTTCTCAGCCCAAGACTTTAGACACACTTTCCAAGTTTCTTATAATGTTCACTGTTGGAGAAAACCTGAGAAATTAAAAACCACACTAACTTAGCAGTCATGGAGGCCAGCAGTGGGAAAGACCCAGTTGGGCCACATCAGCCAGCGTGGAACAGGGCAAATAAATTGCTTAACCAAACTCTTTCCAGATTACACAGCAAATTAAAACATGCCTGCTGGCTGAAGCCACAATGCTTCCAAATGGCAGTAAATGGAATTGTAGTATGTCAAAGTATGTTAAAGGCCAAGAGATGGAGACTAATGGAAAAATCATAGACACTGGTTGTACTTACTTGTGTTGTAGCTGCTAGAGTCAAAATACCAAACCAGAATAATTGTTTTGACTTAATTTTTATCTCTCTGCCTCAATTTCTATAGTAATGACCACCTACCCTAGTGTCATGAAATACTAGAACAGGTCCTACTACATGTAAAACTATGTATGCCTGTTCAAAATCCTTGTGATGATCATCTATACAACACTCAGAGAGCTCCATGTCCTGGGACCCAAACCATTCAGCCAGCAGTCACTTTGTGTCTTCCATCATACAATTCCTACTAACTGCTCAATAAATATCTAGTGTGTTTTTAGTTTTATCCCATTTATAAAAATTTAAGGGCTTTTCCTATTTGCTGGGAAAAGGTTGTATCCTTCATGAAAACCCCACACTAGAAAGTACTCTCATCCAATCTA